AGTAATAAGACATTATTTATTCAAAGCTAAAGAAAACATTTAACCTTAAAAATAATTGAATGGCTTTTTTTAGATGACTAGGACTCCTATGCTAGTCTTCAGATCTTGTTTGTATAAGCACCTAATAATAAAGTTCGCAAATTGTGAAGGAAAAGAGACCTATTTCATTAAAAGAAACAATATGTACCGCCGCTGTTCGTTGAGAAACGATAAAACTTTTGCCATATGGTGGCTGCATCTGAAAGGTGGCTTCGAAGGAGTTGGCTTGAAAAAGTCATGATCAGCTTCGGGTTCTTGATTCTGAAAGAGAGGCAAGAAAACGAATTATTTGAAGTTAAAGCTAAGGCAAAATAAAATTTAGCTCAGTTTCTTCACTTCAGTTTTATTAAATTTGTATTTAAATCATCAACAGCTAAATAGAATTAACTTATTGATAGTACAAAAAGTATACACGTTAATTTAGCTAAATACGGAAGAATTTAATCCATGTCGGAGAATTAATTGATGAGTAACCTTGTAAATAATAACATTAGCATGGCTTTTCGTCTATAAGTAGTTTCGAGACTACCAATAAATCTGTTATGAAATGTATTCATTCTATTTCGTTTAAGGTGATGAAGGACTGGTAGTCCCACAATGATATGAGTAGAGCTGGCGCTTCCATAGAAGTTCACATAGCCTTGCTTCCTCAAAAGGTGTTCTCATACAAGGTGGATTGCAGCATCGATCTCGTCTAGACCTTATTAACACCCCCAGCAGGACTCGAACCATGGCACTGCAGCCTGTAATCTCGACAAGTTAATCACTACACTACATTGCCACGAGTGATCTTGGGTCACAAGGCAGATGTGAATTTCAAGAAAGGCCATGTATATCGCATTCTATGGTGGGATTGTCGATGAAGCAAAGTTATATTTGCTATGGCAATCGGCTACATTACTTATTTTTCGTATATAAGTAGAGTTTTGAGGCTACCAGTAAATCAGATATATGAGATGTATTCACCTTATTTAGTTTAAGGTGATGAAGGATATGAACACATTTCATATATCTGATAAACTTGTAGTCTCAAAAACCTATTCAAAAGGAAAAATAAGTAATGTCGTCGATTGCTATAGCAAATATAAGTTTACTTCATCAACAATCCCACCACAAAATGTGATATGCGAAAATGCCTGGCCTTCCTAGAAATTAAAATCTGCCTTGTGACCCAAGGATACTCGTAAAGGTTAACGTGTCAAGATGATATGCTGCACTGTCATGGATTGAGTCCCACTAGGGGAGTTGATAAGACCAAGGCGAGGTAGAAACTGCAGTCTACCCTGCATGAGAATACGTTTTAGGAAAGGCAAGGCTATGTAGAGTTTAATGGAAACGTAAAGTCTACTCATTTCAAATTGGGAAAATTCAAATACCAGTCGTTCATCACCTTAAATGAAATTGAGTGAGAACAGTTTATATATCTGTTTTACCTCGAAAACCTATTCAAAACGAAAAATAATGGATACTAATTCACTAGTCTGCTAAATTTATAATGCCGTATCCCACATTAGAATTATGCTTCGTAATCAATGTAAAAAAACTGGGATTGCAAGAAAATTCCCATCCACTGCTAAAATACGCGGCAAATCAATGGGATGCATGTGCCAAAACTTTTGAAATGGATTTTGATTAGCAAATAACCAAAGGCTTGCATCTTAATTTTTTTTAATTACTTTAAAACATTACCTAGGAAAATAGCCCAGATCTATTTAGTGATCAGATTTATCTTAGATAACAAGAAGACTTAGGCGAAAATTATTTATTGCAAGCCCTCTCATAAAGTCAGAAATAAGCACTCAAAAGGCAAAGTAAAAGTTGCACACGAAATTAAAAAAAAACTTTTTAGGTAGGCTTTATAATCATTGATAAAGCATGATAACGGACCGAGTCCTTAAAGCCACTAGGCTTAAGCACCAAAATTCCCTTTATTTCTTTCTGTAAAATCGAATCCAGTAGTTCTGTGATCAAGTTCATTTAAGTATTGTCTTATTTCTTTTTTCTTTCTACCTAGAGTTTAGAAACTTAGTCGATGATACGTGTAACTTTGCGTCGTTTGTTCTGACTATGCCATTGCCCTTAAAAAATGGGCAAACTTTCCGTGACAGTCTAGATGTATGATCATGCCTGATGAGAGTGAAGAAGGGACAAAATACTGTGTAATAACATCAATCTTGCCTGATTGAAGGCTTATGATAAGTCGTTGTACCTTCAAGATTTTCTTATTGTGAGTTTGTGCAAAGTCCTTAGCTCATTATATTGCGGCGAGGAATTCACGAGACAAATTCCGTACCAAGTAAAGGGCGATCCTCCTTAGGTTTCCGATGAGGCCAATTTACCGACCCCTTCGAAACCCAGCTTATGACATTTTGTTTACCAAAATGCAAACCTGTATTAAAGCCTGATGCTGAAGTAAGTTCGTGAACATTCAGGGTCGCAGGCGAGTGTCAAGATCAAATACGTTTGCCAAGTGATCCAGTTAGGATACGAAAGCTAAATAAGAGGTCCAAATTTATTACTAACCCCCAAAATAACCTCCTTCCAAGATCCTACACAATTGTAAACAGGATAATCGAAGTAGATGAAGCTAATCGACCAATTTATTTTCAAAATAAAACTATTTAATTTTCTTACCTATTAGGCCGTTTGATGTATTGTCATTAATGCTAACTCTGCTTTACCAAATCGCTATTTTTTAAAGATGAATGCAAGAACACTATTTGACAAAATCCATAATTTTGCGTATCACAGAATGGTCGGTTAATAATTTGAAAGTTGTCGAAGCAACTCAGAGAAACGATAACAACTGGAGCTGATCACAGTGGTCCCGAAAAAAATATTCGAGATAATAAAGATGTAGATTGAATTATAAAGACATATAAAGGAAACAAGGAGGTACATCTAACCAGGATAATAGCTATAACTAAAATAAAATAAGGACGGTCCCTAAACATATTTCTTCATCAAGTGGGAGATCAGTCAGTCTCCTAGCATAATGCTCCATTTGAGGTAATTTAAAAACGATAGAAATTCTGCTTAGCCTTTAAAAATGACAGATAAGCATTGGCTTTACCCGGCAACTGGTGAATGATGAAGGAATTATCAATAACCAATGACTCACAGCAGATGCGGCTGCTTCTCGGCCGATGCGATTAAGACCCCCTCCAGAGCAAATTTGTCCATCAAAATTCCCAAGACTAGTCCCGCTGAAGGTAGAAGATCCTGACAAACCCTGCCTGGGAGCGAGTCGCAAAATTGGTCCTTCCGCACCTTCACTTCCTGCTGAGGTCGTCGATGCCAATACACATTCAGCGTCCCTGAGGGTTGACTGACCATGCTGTTCACGACCTTCTGGGGACGGGCCAAGTCGAGGAGATGCCAGAGGTTGGGTCTCATGTAGCCTGCCCGGAGTCGTTGTAGTAGGAGCCACTACGGTCGCTGTAGTTGTTGACTGTAATTCACCCGTCAATGC